CCTGTTTTTATGCTGCCTGAGCATTGATACTCCTGCAGGGTTTGAACTGGGGTGCTCAGGTTAACCTGAATTTTGCCTTCTGGGTTAAAAGGAATATTCCCTCTGTCAAAAGCAGGGAAGTCTGCAATTCTTCTTCTGCAACATTTTAACTTACTTTTTGTTAAACTATTTGTTGGGCTAGGCTGGGGGCTGCAAGGTGCCTGCCCTGGGTGCTTGGAGTGTTCACCTAATTACTATCAGTTCACTTAATTGCAATGTGAGCAGTTTCTGTAACACTCCGGTGCAGACTGCAAGCATGGCTTGCTGCCCATTAAAGATACGACTGCTTTGATCTTCCCTTCTCTCCTCTTGCAGGATCCAGCTGCTGAAGCCAGGATGAAGGTTGCCTGTATCACAGAGCAAGTGCTTACTCTGGTGAACAAGAGACTTGGGCTGTACCGTCACTTTGATGAAGCAGTGAATAAATACAAGCAGTCACGGGACATCTCTACTCTGAACAGTGGCAAAAAGGCTTTGGAGACGGAGCACAAAGCCCTGACAAGTGAAATAGCCTCTCTGCAGTCTAAACTGAAGACAGAAGGCTCTGACTTATGTGACAAAGTAAGAAATTATATGGGGTTTTTTAAGCTTTCCTATTCTTGGCTCTATCAAGTATTCTATGTGAGTTTTAATTTGACATTTAGTTTCTGCAGCCTGTATTTTTTTTTCCTCTGAACATGGTGTGATGCCTGCCAGGAGGTGTGAAGATCAGTTTATTGTTTTTGCAGTAATCTTGGTTAGCAGTCTCTGAAGTGCTGCAGGTAAACAGCTACTTGTGCTGCTTCTTCAACAGCCCTTGAAACAGTTGCATGAGTACAGATGAATGCTTTTGTAACACAATCCTGATGCTTCTCATTGAGCTCATGGCAGTGACACTTGAGCAAAAATGGAGACTATCAACACATTATCAGTTCTGACTTTACTACTGACACCAGCCAACCCAAAGTCTTCTCCCTCATCTCGTTTTCTTGCACATGTGAATTTGGTGCTGACAGAATTTCGGTAACATGATGCTCCTCAGGGGGTATTTTGCTGTACCATGTTGAAAGCCATGGCACAGTGAGCTCACACCCACTATCCTTTCCTCCTTCCACTGTATTTCAACACTTACCTAGAACAGCCACTTAACCCCGAGTGAGGGACACTTTAGTCTCTAAGGTCCATTCAGCCAACAGCCACCTTCCTTAATCTGTTATAAACACAAAGACTGGCTCTGTCATTACAGACCTGCTTCTCACGCACCATTAACATTAACTGTAGGGACACAGCTTTCAGCTCTTGTAGTTGTGATTTATCTTCAAGTCTTTAAAACCTATAATTAAACGCTCTTTAACAGTAATTGCACCTGTCTCCTGCCAGTAGGGCATCTGGGTCCTCAGAGCCCCTTTATCTGCACTGCTTAATTATCCATTTGTGAGATGTTCCTCATATTGTGATGCTAAAGAGAGGCAACAGCTCAGAAGGCTTATTTGGGGACTGGAGATGTTTCTACTTAGCACTGACTCAGTCTTTTCCTCCAGCTCTACCATCTCTTCTATTCCAGCTTCACTATGGGTTTTTTTTGTCCCCTCTAATATTCCCTTTGTTTCTCACTCCCATAAGGTAAGTGAGATTCAGAAGCTCGATGGCCAAGTCAAGGAGCTTGTTCTGAAGTCCTCAGTCGAGGCTGAGCGGCTGGTAGCTGGCAAGCTCAAGAAGGACACGTACATTGAGAATGAGAAGATGCATTCCAACAAGCGCCAGGACCTGGTCACCAAAATCGACAACATCCTCGACGCGCTGTAACTGGTTTAGTGACCGGGTGGAGGGGAGAGGTATGAAGAGAAATGAGAAGCCTGGGAGTGGAAACACTTTGAGACAAAACTCCTTCCCAGCAAAATTAGGGGAAAAGTTGATGTTAAGTGTCTGAAAGTACATTTTGGTTTTAGATTTTCTATAGAGCCTGTCTGCTCAGCAACACGTGCTGTGCAAGGGACCACGACATCATGCTGTTTGGCTGGGTAACAGGGTTTCTCTACCAGAGGTGAGGCTCAGCCAGGTTATAAAACAGTCTCATGCTTTTGGCTTTCCCTGTAGAGATGCACCCTGACTAAACACACACAAACAGCACAGACATGCTCGTGGCAAATCTGAATGTCGCATCTCCAGAAAGAATAAAAGAAGCCTTTGTTCTACTTTTGAAATAAAACCACCACTGCCTCGCCTTTTTGTGTTGTGCAGGGGTGGGAGGAGGCAGGGGTGCTGGTGCAGAGGGGCTGGGTGGTCCTGTCCTGCCCACAGAACCAGGCGGTGCAGTTCCTGGGGAACAGAGTTTGGCTGTGCCTGCTCCCAGCCTCCCATCAGCTGTGTGCCTTGAAGGCAGAGCTCTGCCACCCCACAAGGCCCTGACCCAGACAGGGGAGAAACCCAAGCCCTTGTTCCCGAGGGACATGCATGTTCCTAAACCCTTAGGGAGAGAAAAACCACAATGCAGTGCCTCCTGCTAGCCTCTCGCCATGTGCCACGTGCTTTCCTGCTGCATGCAACAACAATCCCTGTATCCCTTGAGCTGCCCAGGGCCCTTGCTCACACCTGGCTACGCTGGGGTGTCCATGTAATTCTCTAATTGTTGCAGTCTCATAAGATTTTTTTTTTTCCTGTGCCTCTCTGCTTCAGTGCACTGCTGAACACCCCAGAGCTAGCTGCAGGGACGGGAATATAGGTCTCCCCTGCATAGCTTAGCTGTTTACCAAAGCTGTTTGAGATCCCAATGCAGAATGGACCAGAAAAGAGCAGAATGGGGTGTGTCCCTCTGCCTTCTTTCTTGCTGATGACCTGCCCCGTGGGCAGAGGCAGCTGCCTGTGGGTGAATGTTTCTGCAGGGCAGAGGGGGTTAAGTGGGTTTAGTTTTTTGCTGCAGGCCTGACCCCAGGCACCCACCACTTTGTCTGTCAGGTGCCAGCTCCCTCCCATGCCCAGAAACCTCACCCTGCAGCAGAGTGAACAAGTCTAGATCTCCTGTGTCTCTGCTCCCTGTGCAGGTGCTGTTGGGAGCCCTGAAACCGTGAGTCCTGAAACCATGAACCCTGCCTGACCAGGGTGGGGATGACCAACAACTAAAGTGAAATAAATTGTTGTTAAGCCACTGGGCCAAAACACACATGCACAGAGATATGGTGGGCACCCAAAACCAGACAGGGGCTGCCTGTTACATCTGGGGCAACCCAGGCAGGCCCAGGGGAAGAAAAGAGAGATCAAACTGTTGATCCCAGAGACATCCTTACCTTCCCATTCTCCCTGGCAGAGGAAAGGCAGTGCCACACTTCTTTCCCCATGTCCCACCTCTGCTTGGCTTCCCAGGTAACCCAGACCCCCAAGGGTACAGTGGAGCTCGTACCCATCACATCAAAGTTCCTTGGGGTTGATGGTGTGTCTCT